GAGAATACACCTGAACTCGCTCATGGTGGGTATGTTATCTCGTGGGATGCTGGCGATGACGACGTAGTCGATCCTTGGAAGAGGGATCGAGTTGCTTCGAAGTCTCTCGAGTAACAGGTTTTCGTGCTCGCCACATGCCTGGGCAGTATATCTGAACAGGAGTAATGTTTGTCTGGTTCATATCTGTCTCCCAAGCAACGACATGTCTGCAGTGCAAGGGTACCCAGGGCTTAAAGTGGCAAACTCACGTTCATCCTTAGCCTTCAAGGTCCTCCTGAGTGTTAGCGTGTTCCACCTCTCAATCTATGGCGACATCGGCTGCAAGAACGGCTCATCATTATGACTCTAGGAGGTTGAGGCCCCGTTGCTTATCGTAAGTACGATCTGTTCGAGGAATATGGACTTTTGTTCTGGATATCTACACCCTACTGTGACAGAGATAGATAGATACTAGCTGAATACTCGGTGCTTCTCGCCGGACATTTAAGGACAATAGAACTGGCCAAATTAGTAATAAGTAGATAACTACATATAATAAGTACGTCTGTCAGTAGCTGAAGCTTAGCTAATCTTGCGTGTGCGAAACGCAACGTATTTGGGGAATTCCGTACACGCCATAACGGCTTGAAATGTTAACGACTGTCAAAGGGGGAGATGCTGAGAGGTACAAGGGTTCAGCTGATCGGTACCGAGGAGAAACGATCTTGGCATCGTGATTAGTTACCCTGACATAAAATTCTGCAGTCAGAAATATCATCTGTTAGGATAGAGGTGATTATTAAAAACGGGGCATTGTCCTGTTGACTGTGGCTGTGCTTCATTTGGTTTGCAGGAGATTCACTCCTATCTAATGTGCATGCCGACTTTCACAATCTATTAGTGACGTGAGTATGATGCCAGAACCTACGAAAATCAACAATGAATTATGATGCAGACAACTATCTAATGTTGATCCAGGTGATCTGCCATTTATTTACGAGTACGACGTGCGCCTCGTGACAGAATCGTGCTCTTTGCTCATGTCAGATTATATGTGCGGCTACCTTTCAAATAGCCCTCGGGTTGTAAAGTATCGGATTGATACATCATTTGTACTGAAGAGTGAAAAGCTGCAAGACACTAGCGTCCGATAAACATAGTGAACGCCATCTGATCGTGCTTCCAAATAATAAGCCGCACTGTCGACATGCTGCTTACCATACAACCTTCAGCCGCCCACCTTAAGTTGAATACTATGAGAAGTGGACGTATACAGAATTATCATATTAACACAAACAAAAATATTTTTCAACTACCAAATCTCTTATTCCATCCTCCTATATTCGAGTCTTCATGTATCCCTCGTGTATTTGCAAGTTATTGACGATGGAATGATACCAAGGGGGTTGAGAACTACCGTACGTTGTAGTTTCGGCCAAGACTACCAAGACCACGGACTCTACCGAACGGGCTACGCGCCCGCGGGACGGGCCTTAGATGCACGACAAAGACTACTGGGTCAAGAGAGTCACGAGGACTAGGTATATCTGCAGGATGCTGTAACTGAAGAGCCGCGCGGGCATAAGGAGGTCAAGGAATTCTTGCATATAACCGAGAGAAAAGACTACGTTCCAAGCCCAAGCATACTAGCCCTAGCCCGTATCACACATACTTTCCTTTTTAGAAAGGAAGCGCATATGAGCAAGCACTGATAGCAAGAAATTGCCACTTTTAATGCTCAGCTGCGGCGGCCAGCTTTTAGGCCTTCTAAACATTGATTAGATTTGCGGAATTCTTACGTAGCTGTTCATGCATTGTGAAGGCTTTCCCCTTTCCTTTCATTTTTTTTTTAAAAAAAAGGTTGTGGTTATTGTAAGGACATCGGAAGCCTGATATCAATAGATTCTATACACTACCATCTATAATATTAACTCTATACTGCAATATTCATTACAAATTGGTCTCAGTTGACTCGAATGCCTCTACCTGCCGGAATACCTGTAGATGGATTGAACTAGTTTGATATTCAATACATTTTTGTGACTGCTTCGTCGTTCTTCCACGTGAAATTGGCACCCAGACCTTCTTGAGCTGTGCTGCCTTTACGAAAAGCACAGTGTCCTCCAGATCGTCAACCGGTTGTCCGTCCTTAGGAGCATATGCCTCGGTGATTATTATGCTAAAATTTGTCCAATCGGGGATGACACTGGGATCGGGGTCTTTTGCTCTATTTGGCTTTGATCCATTGGCAATCATGCTGCGGACAGTAAAGACTATCCTCGTCACATTCTTGAGGAGCGGTGGTGGGTTCGTGTGCTTTGGATTTAGGTCATCATACTACCCTATTACGTATCGTGGAAAGGCTGTTCTCGGCAATACTAATGTACATCTTGGACTTTAGTCGTGATGGTACCTGGGAAGTACACTGCTGAAGCGCAGGAGGTGGCAAGTCGGGAGCCTTGGGCTTGAGTGTTGGGGGTCCCGGAGCCATCCGGGGTAATGACTCTAACATCGTGAATGACTTGCTGATCTTGAGGAGAACCGAACTATCATCTGTATATGCTGTGAAGTTGATGGTTATGTGCACCGCCCTATCCAATTCATTGTTATCGCTGCCACACTTGCCATTTATAACAAGCGTCTGGTGCGTTCCAGGTAGGGTGGCGGTGGACTAATCTCGTATTTAAGCCTTAAGAGAGGTGCATCTAGAAGCTTGTCTACGGAAGATTTCTTCTTATCCTCATACTATAGTTGTGGCATGAATGATTTGACGGTTGGTTTTCGCTTTAAAATAGGGAAACAATGAAGCTTACCATACTTACGTAGCGTACAGAGTGGACAAGAAGTTAACAACTGAAGCCAGAGATTGGAAGTTACTGTTATAGATTTCTAGGCACATCTTAATTCCAGTGGCATTGGGGTCATTGAGTAGACAATGGACAGTCAAGGCGTTGACGATGAGCTGAACCAACCCAACTCCAACCAGGATGCCGCGGACAGTCATTTCGGGGGCATTAAACTGCAGCTTGGGTTTTCTGATGTTCTATCAGAAACCCTTAGCCTTGCACTTCGTCGATTTTATGAAGCTACTAATGCGTCGTTTCCACAGAATCTTCTCCGGTGACAGCTCAATTTCTGCCGCACTCATAGTAACGCCGTCTTCGGCTGCCACTGCATCCAAGGCAACGGATTCATGACGGAGGCGAACAGCATCATCAGCAATGATCACAGAGATCATTGGCTTGGGCGTTGCGAACGATGACTGCTGTCGCAGTAACTATTGCGGTGACCTGGTCCTTGAACCGTGCAGGTTTGGGAGATGAAATCAATCACTTGGCGTCACAGATGCGACAAGGAGGCCACATATTGCGAGAGGCTGTAGCACGGTTGGCCTCCGCGGATACCATAACGTACGAGATACCCCTAACGTTCTTCGACGGGTCATTGTCAAAGTGTTGGGACGATTCGTCCACCTCATCAAGGAGCCTAGTTTGATGCAACTGAGGAGCGAGTTCCCGCATCTGAACCTCCACGTGTAGAGGAGAAACAACGGGTAGTCCTTTACTGTGTTTGATGATCTCATGTATTTTATACCCGACCGAAATGGAATTCCTGAGCACTTGTAAGCTCTGTACTACCAGATTGGCCGTTTTCAACTCACTCGCTGCTGGATCACTAGAGGAGTACCTGTCCCCATTCCGTCCGAGACTGGCAGATGAAATGAAGAGTCTATCATAGTGTTAGTTCCTTATATTGGGAAAGGAGAAGATCAGCTTAGCCCACCGTGATCACGGTGTAGATAGTCGCACACGCCACTGCGAACTTCAGCTTCCCACCTGACAGTAAGTCCCCGGCCTCAATAGGTTTTTGCTCTGGCAATGGCTTTTCTGTGAAAAGACCACGGCAGTGATTCAGAATACTTCTTATTCCCTTTGCTTTAGTTTCGGCGTAGAGATGAGCGTTAGGGGTCGCCCCGACCAATCCAAGGGCGCCGGATGAAACCAGCCTAGAGCGAGACAGTCGCCTTGCTGAACTACTATTAATATGGATGCAGTTGATAGACCTCGTCGAGTGGTCACTTATACATTTTCTTCTGTTGACCTGTCGTTCAATGCATTGTTCCAATCTGCAGAGTTGTTATCTCCTCTGGAATACCTTGATGAATGCTTCGCTGATGCCTGCCTTCTTGGCTGCCCTTTATTACAGGCAACCTACCGTATATTGAGCTACTTTGACTTTCTCAGCGATAGCGTCTACCAAGTGCTCTTTGAATGAGATCTTCGCAGAGAAGATTAGCCCATTTCTTACTACTAATGAGGCTTTTAAGGCTTTTGTTCTCAGTATGCCTATTAGCCCCTTCCACCTCGATCGGTTTGGCCTCCTCTGGATACATATTGATCGTAGGGTATCTCCCCCTGAAGGAAATAACCTATAGACAAGAGTGGACAAGCTGGAAGTGCGACACCCTTCTTGTCAGGTGCTGTACCGGTGGCATTATGCTTATAACGCAAGTTAAATATATTGAGAACCTCACGTTGCAAATTGCTCGATTCTTAGGGCAACTCTCCCATTATCTCGTCACCACTGTCCTTCTACTGAAGTGATGCTTCTTTCCGGGAATGCGACGTGCTTCCCAGTTCTCAGACCACACTTCGTTGCAAGGCAGTATCTTGGGGGACATATCAATGTTCACTTTCTGCTAGATGTTGGCATGCTGTATATTCTTATAACAATTAGCATTCTCTTGACTATACGTCTATTTACTGGCTGAATAGACTCAGTTCTAAGCGGCTTATATAAGCACCTTATTACAATGAGCCTTAAATTAGTTAAGGAGCAGGGATAAAAAGGACATGCTAATAACATCCTTACATGTAAATAGCTATAAATAATGTTATAACATTGCTGATACCTTAAGCACACAATGATGAATGAGAAGGCAAGGTGAAAAATGGGGGAAAATATAGCTCAATGTGAGGATCAAACAATAAATGAAAGGGAAGGTAAAAAAAAAACAAAAATGCTCGATGTGAGGGTCGAACTCACGACTTCCGCATTTCACCATACGATTTTCGAAAACGAAGAAGAGTATAAGAGCGGCACGCTACCACTGCGTTAATCGAGCCACGCTAACCGATTTGCCCGCCCCATCCATACATATACCGCTGCACACCTGAGATCTGGTTCGGTCGTGATGAGGGCAGTGCACTGTTTCTAAACCGCGATGTACCATAACGAGTTGGAGAGGAGAATGATTGCAAGACACAACGATGTCAGCACCAGGAGAGATCTTCCCGGAATATGTCGTGCAAACCGCCGACCTAATCAGGCGCATCCGAGCATGCGACCAGACTCTGGTTAAAGAAGGCGACGATTTGGTGCATGAATGGATATGGAGGAGGTTGAGGAATTGATTGGGAAAAAACAAATAAATACATTTCGTGTTGGCGACTGTTCAGGGGTGGTTAAGGACCCTAGCAAAGCTACCTACCTAGTCTGTATAGGGGGCTAGGCCCAATTACAGCCAATCAGAAATACCAGAATTGTATATAACCTCAAAATTCGCTCTCCTTCTCCTCTGCTTGGTCTAGGTATTCTAACGCTACCCAAGTAGGTTTTCTACTTCCTTACTTCGTAATGCATAAAACCTTGGCCAATTTATACCGAGAACAGTTCGTTTGATCCTCACCAATTTCTCCACAAGGGTTTGAATTAATAGCCCTGTCAGCTTGAATTAACTTACACGTAATCCTAACTCCACCGGACAAGAAGCCCCTATTCAAGATCAATCAAAGTGTCTGAGTCTGGAAACTTAGACTCTAACAGAGGCACCAGCGACTTCTTCTCCTTTCCGTTCAAGCTTAGCTTGTCTTTGATCTCGGTGAACGGCGCGAGAACGGACTCCTCGGCTCTGGTCTTTGAGACCACGTCTTGCTGCGCCCATTGGTTGCGAGTGACAATATCTCCCAAGATCTGCTCACAAGCGTCGCGCACCCCGGGCTCGTCCTGCATCGCCACGGCCTGGTTGAGCATCCGCAGCACGCGAACCTCTAGAACCAGCCGCTCGGTGAAGCCACTCGCCTTCTTGAGCCCCTGCGCCCACGTCGTGAGGTTGACCGCGCTGTCTTCGAGCGACTTCCATGGATCGTGGAGCGCCTGGAGCTCGGCCAACATCTTGCCACTCTCAGTGACTGACGCGTCGCACGAGGCGATGGCTTTGGACGCTGCCTCTACATGGGCGTGCACGGTCGACAGGACGTTGCGCCGCGATGTCAGAGTGGTATAGGCGGTATCCCGCTCTCCCTTGGCATCCTGTAGCTGTTTCTCGACGGAATCCAGGGCAGCCTGCTTCACCTTAACCTGCTGGTGGAGTTCCTCGACTCTAGCGTGTATGCCGAGCTGCGTGCCCAGCTGGACGCCGTACGAGCCAAGGTCGTCATAGTCATTAAACTCAGAATCCACGTCAGTCTCTATTTGACTCATTGTCTCTTCCTTGGCCTTTGCTTCTTTAAGCTTTCCATTGGCCTTGTCGAGAGCTGTCTGCGCATCGTCGACATGGTTCTGGAAACGCTTTACTGTCTCCTCCTGGTCAGTGACGAGCTTCTGGTCATCCCGCTCTTCTGATTCTGACTGTGTCTTGTAGGTGATCAACGAGCTTCTGATACTGATGAAGTGCGTCTGATCAATCCTAGCACTGGTGGTGATACCGTCTAGGGTTTTGATCGCCTTGGCCATAATAGTTGTCTGCGTGGAGAGCTTGGTAGTAACGACAGATGAAGCCACTGTCAGCATCTCGGTCTGAGATGGATTAGATGCACCTTGGAAGAAGTGCGTCTTATGCTTGTCAATCCAATCAGCCACCCCAACCTCATCGCCGCCGTGAATCAGGGACATGAAGGTAATGAGAGAACGTATATCGTTAAGAGGTTCCTCGAAATGAAGGTCTGGCTTTTTCTTGCCTTCCTCCCAGGATTTCTCGTGGGCAACAAGGGCCTTCTGGCTTGTAGCAAGCTCATCTATGGCCTTGTCGGCCGGTATAACAGTCTGAGAAATGGAGCCCATTGCGATAATATTCACACCCGTGTAAGTAGCTATAGGATCAAGATTCCAAGGAGAACAAATGATAATGGGAGACAAAGAGAGCGAAGTGTCGGATGAAGTCGGGACTAGGTTGATCTTAAGTTGTGTTTCTTCTGGACCCTGACTATGACTCCTTGACGAGAAAACCATCATTTATACAGGATATTCTCGTCATATTGGACTCAGCATTAGACACCACCAGCTTGAAAGTCACACAAGACCACTCCAGGCTCTGTCCAGCTCAGTCGTGGATGATGGATACGATCCAACTTGGAAGCATCTCTTTGTACAGATCATATAGTGGCTGGCTGAGAGCCAGAACCATTGCAGACCTAGACTCTATCCAGCTCGGGAACCGCACGTATTATAGTTAGTCGCAGGATATTAGAACCCCCAGCTAGGCGCTTAGGAGGAGCTAATTGTCCGGAGGCTCTGCTTTGGTGTAACTGGTGGCGGCTGCAGCTGCGGCTGCGGCAGGTAGCGGAACGGCGCGCCCGTAGGGTCTAGCCAAGGGTCAAAGAAAGCTGAGAGAAGTACTCCGTAAATACTTAGCGTATTGAGCATCGGTTCAAGCCACTGTCAATTAACAGCAAGTAGGGGTGATCTAGATTTCATTTTCTTAGTGAATCGATAGCCTCAGCCGAGCGTGGTTGTCTAAACGACAGGGTCCAGACAATTTGATCGTGGAGCTGAGAACTCTGGCTTCGGGGCTGATCAAGATCTCGACAAGTGTATGGGCCAGGAGAGATGGTTGTGTGTATACATATGTATATGTATATATATAGGCGCGTTAGCATGTTCATCAATGCATATCTCCAACTTCCTCACTTTATACCCAAAGACCATTTATCGCACTTCTAAGAAATAAAAGTCCTCTTTAATATCTCATCTTTACTACTCTGTGAATCATGGGCTCACAAGCTCTTACCGTCGCACAAGAGAAGGGCCTTGCGGCGCTGGCCGCTGATGAGAAGAAACGCAAGGCGACCGCTATCACCATTGTGCAGGACATCAAGTGCTCCGAGTTCTTCAAGGAGAATTGGGATGTTCTTCTCATCGCAGCGCCATGTGCCATCAAAATCCTGGGAAACTTAAACGCGGTTGCAGCCACCAAGTTCGCGGTGCAGACCAAGATTTCGCAACCCAGAAATGGATTCAAGCGTCTCACCACGCAGCCAGAGGGGTACGAGCAACCTTGCCAATCCGTTCGCAAGAAGTCACTGACATGAGACTTGGTGTTGCAGGAAGAACTATCTGCAAGGAGCTCTCGCTGATCTCTCAAATCAGTCAGAGAACTCATTCTCGATTGCCCGAACAAGGATGTTCTCCATCATCCAGGACTCTGAAGGTGTGACGCAAACAGTATGCGTTTCCCCGTATCATCCAACTCACTAGGGAATTGATCTGACTAACGGATACAGGTGAAAATGATCATGAGCTCTCTCAAAGATCCTGCAGCCCCTTTCAGCGAAGTTCTCATGTCTTTGAGCGAGCTGACTAGTGCGGCGGATTCGTGCAAGAAGCATGCACTCGAGGTACAGACAAGTATGGGAGACTTCAAGGACATGGCTCAAGAACTGTACACGGCTTGTAAGAACGAGTCGGCCGATATTCAGACGCAGCAAGCCAAGGTCCAAAGCAAGAAAGAGCTGGCTGAGAAGGAGAAGCAGGAACGGGAAGCCCTGGAGAAAACGGCAAAGGATCACTTGACCGAGATGGGTAAGAAGATGGATGATGCACAGAAGACCTTTAAGTCAACCCTAGATAAGATGCCAACCGGGTAAGTTATTTTTCATCACGAAAAAAATATTATCTAGGTCTAACTTTTATGGACAAAGAATGGATCTCGTAGGGCAGCAAGTCTTAATGGGCCTCGGTGATGCTGCGGGAGACGCGCTTCGCATTGGTACTAACGTCGCCGCCAACGCAGCCGCGGCATCCATTAACCCGATAGGCACAACAGCGGGTGCTATCAAGGATCTTAAGTCCATTAGTGAGGAGGTCACCAAACAGCAGAAGGAGGACCAGAAGAAGGCAGCTGCCGGGAAGAAGAAGGGCGAAAAGGAGACTCCCAACACTGAGAAAAAGGCCGAAGCTGAGGCCGAGGGGATCATTGCCAAGCTGAAGAAGCCATTCACTCGTCGCTCCAACCCTAAAAAGGAAAGCGAGGCTGGCTCCAAGAAGGGAGACGACAAGGAGAAGAAGAAAGAGGAGACAGCTTCAGAGTCTGCGGAATCTACCACCAAGACACCCGAAGCAGCAAACCCGGCATCTAGACAGACCTACGGCACCTGGGATTTGTCTGGCAAGTTCGATGCTAAGGATCCCGCCCTCGTGGTGGCCGTTGCCATCAAGGCCGCCATAGACGTTATCAAACAGGCCATCGTCGGGTCTCCGAATGGCGTTGACTGGGACTCCCTTAAGTCCCCGGCCGATGCCAAGGACGGCACCGTAAGCAAGCTGGCTCTCAATGCTCACACACTCCAGAGACTGAGAAAGGATTTCCGGCCGCAAACTGGGAGAGGAGAGAGAGAGAGTGTGTGTGTTTGTGTTACTAATCAAAAGTTCATTTCGTCCAGGTCATCTTCAACTTCGCGTTGCAGATCCTGGCCAAGTTCTCCTTGTTCAGGGACGTCGCGAAGATGTACAACCGCGTCGACCAGGAGGCCATCAAGCCGGGCCTGGAGCTCGTCAACGAGGTTGGTTCCATCGCGGGCAAGCCGGGATGGACCGACGACCAGCTCTTCGAGTTCCGCAAGACGAAGATGCTGAACTGGTGCAACGACGCCGAGGCCACGGTCAAGGCCGTCGTTAAAGAGGTGAGAGGGCTCTGGTTTTTTTTTTCGGTTCCCCTTTTCTGGCGCCAGAAGAAGAAGAAGAAAAAGAAGAAAGCATGCTAACAACGTGTCTAGCAACAAGATTCCATTCTTAAGACGCTACAGACGAGGATCAACGACATTGAACAGTCCATTGCTGTCTTCCCGTTGGAATACCAGCCCGACGAGAAGACTAGCGAGGCGATTGAGGGCGGTGCGGCGCTGATTA